CAAGTAGAAGAGGAATATGATGCTCACTAGAGTGAAACGCATTGCATCGACAATTTGTGCAATTTTGTGCTGAAAGCCCTAAAAAGAAAAGGCATTGCTGAGTGAACGTGGCTACTAAGTTCTGTCAATTTTACAGAAAAAACTCAATTTCACTCGCTCCCCTGCCATGCTTCTGTGTTTTCGCCTAAGAGGAGAAGAAGAGTTCTTCTTTGCGCATGCCCACAGAGCTATTTGCCCATGACCACCTTACGACGACCAAGTGTACACCCGGCTTTAGTTCAATCTCTAACCTTATGCTCTCTCTTCTTTTTCTCATCATAGTAGCTTCATCTGGTCCATTCCTGTTTGGTTGTGACACCATCCTAGAGCGGGATATAGGCTGTGCTGATGCCTTTGTTTATACATGTTTGTGCTCTGCCTGTTTTTCAGTGGAGTCCCGTTTCTCTGACTGTGACTAACTGGATGTGCTCTTTTTATTCTCTTACATGGGAGCTGACTCGGAGCTCATCTTCCTGGCTGTGTGTTTCCTGGACGGGCCGCTTGTGTAGCTCGTTGACAGTCAACTTTTGTATCTCTGCTTCTTTTTCTATTTCTGCTTCTGTCTCCTTGAACTCCAGTTGGCCTCAACAGATGGCCGCTCACTCTGAGTCTGATTCTGCTGGAGGCTTCTTCCTGTTAAAAGGGAGTTTTTCCTCTCCACTGTTGCTACAAGCATGCTTGGTGTGAAGGATTGCCTTCGAGTCAAAGCAATCAACTGGTTTTCTTTAGATAGAAAACTTTGAATCAATTTGACCATATGATCTGGTTGTATTGTCTCTGTAAAATGTCCTTGAGATGACACGTGTTGGGAATCGTAAATTCTTTATTGTCCCACATTGGAGAAATTCACTGCATTTAACCCATCCCCTGTGGGAGCAGTGGGCTTCCGCTGTGCAGCACCAGGGGAGCAATCTGGGGTTAAGAATCTTGCTCAGGGAGCCAGAGTGGCAGTCTGTGGGAGGACCCAAGCACATTGCACTAACCACTAGACCACTAATCCACAATCGGCACTACATAAATAAACTGAATTGAATTGAATATCTTGCTGTATACTGGCGACCTATCCAAGGTGTACCCCGCCTCTTGCCTGTAGACAGCTGGAGATAGGCACCAGCACCCCTCATGACCCCACTTGGAATTAAGTGTGTCAGAAAATGGATGGATGGATCTTGCTGTATAATTATGGTACACACAGGTGGTTTTTATTCCATCTAGCACGGTGACATGAAAAATGGCGGTGATGTGACTGGAAATCCTCTATTAATATTGGCTGTTACTTCAATTTGATTGAAGATGCATCACTGCTTTCAGAAGCCATGCCTTGAGATCATGTGATGCGCATCCATTGATTTGCTATCCATTGTTAATGTTTTTATTGATTAAGTAAGAATTTATTTTTGTTTCTTTTACTTTAGACTAATGTAACTTTTGTTATCATTGTATAATTTTTTTTAAATCATACATATAGAGGAAAACAAAGCAATAATGTCATAAAGAATATGACCCAAAAAATGGGCAGCACATATTGGGCATGATGCTGTAATGGTTGATATTTACCAGACAGGATCCAGACTGTAGACTGAGTTCCAGCTTCCCTAAGATCCTCAGAGATCCAAGAGATTATGTTTTTTAATACAGTGTTAAATTTTTCAGTGTTTTTATTGATATTGATTAATAGAAAAGTTAGTTCTAGTCAAAATGTAGACATCTGTTGTTATTCCAGACTCAATCTTCTCTTAGTTCTTCAATTCAACTGTAAATTAGTTTTAGTATTTATGTCTTGGATGCATAGTATCGCAACATTTTCTGGATACCATATTCCCAGATATTGCTTACTGGAAATTCGTTCCCTTTTCCAGTCGGTGTTACTCCTTGTGCTTTACAAAAGAAATGTCTTCAGGATTTCAAAATGTGTAATCTTTTCTTTCTTTTTAAAGTTTTGCTTTTGTCTAGGGCCGTCCAGTTGTATTGTTTAATCCAAAGACGTGATCCCCAACTTGTCTAGTTCTCCCTTAACTAAAATTAGATCTGACTGACTTTATTTATTTTAATATGCACTGATAGTTCTCATCATGTTGAATAAGATTTTATTAAATTTTCTGGTTAATTCAATTAATCATAAAACTAAAGTAATCATAATTCCATGACAACAGGCTAAAATTAAAATTAAATAAAAATGTTAAATGTCTGTGCCCTTATGATATTTCTATGAATAAAAGCAGCAGTTTGCATTAGCTTGCACTCTGTTAATAAGTGATGTAGCTCATATAATCAGCTGTCTCCATCAGTGATAACAAATCAGAGTTCTGCCATAAACTGTGAAGTTAAACAGTAAAAATGACAAACACCAGGACTCTTCAGGATTACTGAGGACACATGAGGCTACTTCTACATATGGTTTCCTTCCAATGCTATGAAATGGGGTCATTTTTAAGTTTTCAATTTTTCATGGAAGACACTGTCCAGACTATTCCTGTTGTAGGGTTATCGCTAAAGGTTCTGTTACATTTTTTGTACTTTTGTGGGGAAATGGCAGAGGGGATTATACGCAAGCAGAGCTGCAGATTCGTTTTTTTTTTTTTTTTATCTCCCTGATTCTGGAAGGTCTCCACATGACAAGCCGCTGAAACGGAAAGATCGGCTCTTATTTAGAAGTTTTGTTTTGCAATGCTGGAAAAACTGCAGATAATAAAATAAAGTGGCAAATATGTGGGGTTTAAAATATTTGATACTTTTAGAGATTTGGAATACTGTTAACACCATAAATGATCCTGTTAATGTAATGAAGTGATAAACCACCAAATGAGTAGAGTTTGGAAGTGAATCAAACATGGTACAGCTCTGGTCAGACACTTTCATACACTCATAATATGAAGCATCCTTAAAGTATGAAATTAAATAAAAAACTTTAAGACTGAAATTTGTAGGGAACAAAACGGCTGCAACTTAGAAAGTATTGCAGATCTTCTCTGATCCACACTGGCTATAAATTATCCATATGGGCATCACAAATATACATACACACCCCAATATTTAAAAAAAAAAATTAATATATGGATTAATTACAATAAGGCTGATGTATTTTATTGCAATTTCTTTCTAAGTATGATTATTTTGATAAGTGATAAGTTTGAAATACTAGACCTGAATGTTGCAAAAAATTTGCAGAAATGTGAACTTAATGTAAACTATAATGCATACCTCCATAAAGGTTATTATTTTAAGGAGGTACTTTTAATCCAAATAACAAGCATTAGTTGAATTTTTAATTATTTTATTTATTATTGTAATTTATTTAATGACTGTACACCAACAATATTTGGTGGGATGATGCCCTTAAAAATAAATCATATTAAATAATACATTTATTATTACTGTATAATCAAGTAATACAATTTTCCAGGGACAGAGTCAGTGACGGATCTAGACCAAATGCCTCAGGGGGCCAGGAGGGGGCCAGCAGGTTTTCATGGGGGCACAGAAACCTATGAAATAAAAAACAGGGCAAGGGATTCAAATATATAAATAGTGCTGCATGAAGTGAATTTTCTATTCAATTAGGTTAAATTAAAATTCTGTCTTATTAGGTCAATATACAGTACATTCAGAATTTAGGAATTTTACATATTTTGACTTAAGTTAAAATAACCCTTTTCAATAAAATCTGATTTAGAACTCAGGAAAATCATAAATTCAGCTGTAAAAATTAGAGTATTCTTTAAAATTTGTTTTGAAAAAAAAAAACATTTAGCAGATGAAAACTGGGATCCTATCTCAAAACCACCGAAGCTATCACCTTATTGTTTTTAAATAATTAGTAAAACAGAATTTGTAAAGTAAAAAACAAGAATTAGATCCAAAGGACCCATCAGTAACAATGTCTGTTCCAGCACATATCATCTTTAGAATTTCTTTTAAGTATTATGTCTTTAGTACAGGGGCCAGGACATGATCTACAGGGGCTCTGGCCCCCGTTGGCCCCTGTCTAGAACCACCCATGGACAGAGTTAATATCCCAAGGCATAACTCTTGAATAATATCTGGCCATTTTAGTGGGGTGCTTTTAAACTCGTTGCTTTCTTGGAGTAAACCTGGATTTAAGGCATTTCTCATAAATTTCAAGTTCAGGTCAGATCTCTTCTAATTATCTTATTTCAATAGCAATATAATAATAAGCAAAATGAAATATTTCTTCTACTGGCTGATCATGTTAGTTAACTGCTCAAGGGAAAGTACTGGTATTATAAGTCATCATTGTTTGTAGTGCAGAAGGTTTATTGTATTGTGCCTCATCTACTTTAAAATTAGCTCTGATATGTCCTTTGGGAGGATTGTTCCAATTCTTTTAGTTGAAGAATTGCTGATCTGAAGTAAAGTTAAACATTTTGGATGGAGATTTACCCTATTTTCCCACCCACTAGTTTATTGCACCAGTAGCTACTGGTGCAATAAACAATTTAACTTTTTTAGCTGTGGGAGGAACCTAAAGTACCCAGAGAGAACAACACATGGACACAAAGAACAAGCAACTATATGCATAAAGAGCCTCAGAAAGGATTTAAACTAAAATATACTTGCTATGGGGTGTCTATAACAACAAATGTGTGGATCTTGAATTTCTTATTATAATATATGTTTAATATTAATATGTTCAAGTAGGTTGGAAATGGAAACCTGTTCTTATAGTGTCTAACTTTGTACATAGCTGTTTAAAAAGGAACATTGTTTGGTTATTACGTAGGAGACAGGATGTTCTCACTTTATATGTATATAGGGAGTTATGCACCATGGGAATGTCCAACATGTGAGTAGAAACATACAGTTTTCCTGTTTTCTGTTTATTCTCTATACCTCTCTGGGGATCTGCGCACTCTGCGTTTTGTCGCCCCCTGGTGGTCAGCGATGATACCTCCATCACCTTCAGACAGCGTAGGAACACAGTGCTCGGAACATACCGCCTCCTGTTGCTGCAACTCACTGTGGGATCTGCAGTCGACCTTTCGGGTTACACACATGAACGCAGAAAGCTCGCAGGCGCGTCTCCCCGCTATGCGCGACCAGGAGGACGGTCCGCGGAGTTTATCAGCACTGCGCCCCCGGCTCTGAGTCTGGAGCTGCTGGACAAACCCCGGGCTCGTCTTTGCGGGGGGAAAATTTATTTTTCTCTCTCTTTTATTTTTATTTATTTATTTTTTTGACCCAACTTGCCGGAGAATCCGCTGTGAACGAAGGGAGGAAGAAAGGAGGTGGTTTGTTTCGTCGCTGTCTTCTGAGAAAGTGTGAAACAAGTGAAGACAGAGAGCAACAGATGTTAGTGGTGAACATGCAGCCGGCGGAGGAATGAAAGCAGCAGCGAGGCACCGGCGGCCCTTCCAGCGGTTCTGCTGCTGTGGAGTCGGGCTGCTCGCCGTCATTTGGCTCGCGCAGGTCATCCAGGCTCCAGGTGAGACCTTAATTAGGACGCACAGCTGCGTCCATACGCTGCAACTTCAGCTCAACTTCAATCTTTAAAGCAAATAAACTAATGAAATGTATAGAAAACGATAAAAAAAAAACATCCAAACACTGGAAGTACATTCTGTGCTATTGCAATAATATTATTAATAGTAATATACTAATGTCTCCTTATTTTCTGAATGCATCTTTCTTCTCTTGTGCTTATTCCTTATATTGTTAGGTCATTTTTATTTTTTTATTAAAACATTTTTATTATCTAGATACATTTCTGGAAGATTTTTATAATTAACAACCACCCCTCCTATAAAAAAATATATAAACACACCTTAGAGGGAAGTTTATATCTCCCTTTCAGAACGTGTTAACATTTTAGCACATGACCCTATGCTGTCATAAGAGGGCTTTAAATTATTCCCCCCCTCCCTCCCTCCTAGCACTGGTTTGGTGTTTAACCCCTTAAAATAATCCCTAACTTGCTGAGTTTAGATTTCATTTTTGATGCACTTCTGGATGACATGTTTCTACATGTTCCCTTACATGACCGCAGCCCATGTCTGTCTGTCTGTCTGCGCTCCTTGGGTTGATTGACTGTGCTCACCCTGCAGGGAGGTGACAGATTGTTGATCATAACTGTGGCATGTGTAAATCCAATCACTGTGGGTGTGGGCTGGGCATTATCTTTAGCTCAGGGGACCAAGTGACAATGACTAGGCACGCTAAAGGCAATGGCGTAACTATCTGTAAGCAGACTGCAGTTGCTTAGGGCCCCCCCGACCTCTTAGGGGCCCCGTCACTGACTCCTGGTAGGCCCCCTATGCAATTGTGGACTAGGACGTCTCTTTGCAGATGTAATGGTGCAAAAAAATCCTGTTTTACTCACCTGATGCTATCTTTCTATACCCCATGGTGAGCCGTTTAAACACGACACCAATAGCAAAGCAGACAGTGGTACTTTTAATTACTATGTTAATAACTGTGTGTAGTTCATTAAGACGGTTGGTAAAAAAAATACACTCATATAATATGTTTCAAACCGCAATAAAGATCTTAAAAGAACAATGTATTTGAGTATTTTATTTTTTTCCCAATGACTTGGAATTATGGGTAATCCAGGGCGTAGATTAAAACCATAACCATTACGTACAATGTGTTAGCGAAGATGGATACAAAAAAGAGGTACTTAAGGAGATTCTAGAAAAGAAAAAGCAAAGCAGAGGCAGAGGTGGACGTCACTGCCCCAGTGAGTAAAGATTGCGACCAGGAGATGAATGGAGAGAGCGTGGGTGAGGAGGGGAACACAAGGTAGCCCGATAAGACTCATTTAACAGCAGAATATACTAAAGTATATCCATGTCTAATGAAGGTGAAGAATGATGAAGTGTGTATGGTTGTACTTCCTATGGGGCCCACCCAGATAATGTTGCTTATGGGCCTATTGTTGTTTCTTACGCCATTGGTTAAAGGCACATTTTTATCTCAACTAATCTTTTTTTTTATTGTTCTTGAAAACACAATATGGTTTGACGATAAAAAGAGCAGTGAAGATATATTTTTAAAGATATTTGTTGAGGATTTTCTTGAATTTTTTAAAAGACCCGCCCTCTCCCCTTTAAAAAAAAAAACGCATGTGCGAGAACGTGCAAGAGGCCATTTCTTCTTGAGCACGCTCTGTTTAAAAGTTGCTGTTCTCATAGCTCATACAAGCTTACTAACCCCTAAATCCCTCAATCACTATATAGAGCGGGGACTATGTAGTGGAATTTATAGTGAAATCAGTTAACTGACCATTTGGACAGATGATCACTTCCCCGTTGGTCCACTGCACCGTGCTTGCGCCATCTTTGTTATTAGTCGCTGCTGTTGGGCAGCAGCAGCCTATGATGACAGCGGGATGCTGTGACAGCAAATCCCATTTTGCTTTGCGAGGAGAGCTCTCCGCGCAAAGCATTCTGGGATATATCTGCCTCTTCTGAGGCCTTTCTTTTCATCTCATATACTTTGTAGACACTTTTTCTCTTACACCCCTCGGCCATTTTTAAAGAACCGCGATGAGAAAGGTGAGCTTCAATGACTGTCTGAAAACGTAGCTCTCCACAGATATATGCTTGAAAGTGCACGTGCATATAAAAAGATAGCTAGCACATAGGACGGCCTTACCTAAAAATATCACCAGAATGATTGACAGTTAGGAGGACCACTTATTTAGATGATCCACCTGGAAATAAAGTATCCTCCTCTATACCTTTAGGTTATATGATATCTATTTGTCATTGTAGCTGCTATCTTGTGCATAAAGGTGCTATCTTGTGCTCCACTTTTTCCATGTTCAGCCTGTACTTGTTTTAATGATTGTAAATAATTTTCAACAAAAAGAGTTTTTCTGCCTTGAAAGCCAGGAGAAAAATGTAGTCCATCCTTTCACCTGACTGTTTGTAGGTAGAGAAGGGGCTGCATGGTCCTGCTGGATGCTCCATTCAGCTAGTTCTCATGCTTCTTATATAAAATCCTTTACACAGCAGAAACAGTTTAGGTAAAATATGGATTTTGTAATAGGTATTTTACTAAGAATCATTCTAAATTTGCAAGGGTACTCATGAGACTTTGACTGGTGTGGATGTAGCATTAGCAACATTAATAGTTAGCCAGGGTTCATTTACCTTCATTTTACAGTCATGACATAATAGGTAAAAAGTTACAAAAGCAAAAACACTGAGTGTCTGCACTTACATTTGTGGTTGCGGGCATTTCCCTCTTTAACTGAATAGAGAGCAGTGTGATGATAGCAAGGCAAGGTGGGCTGTTGTTAGCACCCTTCCAGGAATAATTTAAGTCAAGGAGAAGGACTTAAATCCCTCTTTTTGGAAGGTGCACTCTTCTGTGCTTTTCTGGTGTAAACAAATAGCCAACATGAAAAAAACCAAGCCACACTCGGCTCTTTAACAGAAGCCCAATGCTTACATATTAAAATGAAAAAAATCTGATTTCCAGATACTGCTTCTTTAAGAATATGTGAAATTGCATTATTCTTTAAGTGAATGGTGGAAATATCAATTATAATTAATTCCCATTTTCCTCTTGTTTCTTACTCTTCTTTATCATCTCATTATCATGGACTACCACCACTCTCTTGTTTTAACCTCTTGGTTGCTGCAAAATATAGTTGCCAAAAAAAAAAAAAAAAAAACAGTTTGGATATGTGAGTGCAACTTAAATTGCAAGGGATCTTTTTCAAATTTAACAAAAAAATTAGTTTTTTAATGACTTGTGGCTTCAGAAATAATCAACCACTTCATGAATATCATCATTAGTAGTTAGTGGAGCAGCCTTGTACTCTGATGAACTGCTGTGAACATGATAGTCAGGCACCAGTTTCTTGCTGTGTTCCTGATTAATGTTAGCCCACTCCTCATTGGGAAGAGCTTCTTTTTTATCATTTTATTTCACTTTGAGGTGTGTTTTGAATCATTGTCCTCATAAAAGGTCAAATCACACCCAAGCCACCTTGCTACTGGTGCAGAATCCTAACATTTCAATGAGAAAGCTTGTAATTTTCCAGGATTTCCTGATTCTCCACACCCTGCAGGTTTCAAGTGGCAGAAGAAGCAAAGTAACCCCAGAATCCTTACGAGCCACCGTCGTGTTTTACTGTCCCCCAGGTTTTTTCATTCTGCTCTTATCAGACCTGCTGAATTAAAAAATGTAGGTTTTGATTTATTGCTCTATACTAAAGAACAGTTAACCTCTGTGGCTTATTTATATAGTTGTTAACATAGCTTATAGTTTTCTGCTTTTGTACATCATCATGCCTCTCTTCTATTAAGCATGATAATTGTTTTGAAACCACAAACCATAACTGATAACTTTATCCTTCCAAAAGGCCAAAAGCTGATTAGAATTGATAACCAGTTACGTACCCGGAGATAAGACTAGTGAGTAAAACTATAATATCACTATATCTATACTCTACTGTTGACTCTATAAAATAAGCTGATCACTATTATTACGCCAGATGCATCAAACAAAGTCATATCTCAAGTAAACCTCCATTTGAAGGAGATGGCTACAAGTTTAAATTCTCGCTCCTTCAATGGTACTGTCTATTAGCTGGTTGCCAGGTTTCAGTTAGCAATAGAAAATATGTATCTTAACTTCCCAGAAGGAAAGCAGTAAATGCTTCTGAACCTCTTTGCTTCCAGATATCATTCCCAACTTTCAAAAGCTCGACCGATGTTCACCCTCATTAGCTTCTTTTTGAAGAAACCATTTCTCAGCTCTGTCAGCGAGCTGCTAGGATCCGGTAGTGCCCGAGCGCCATCTCACTTGACTTCAACCTTCTATTACTGTTGGTTCAGATTTGTTTCATGTCAGCGTTGGCTTTGCAACCAGAAGTAAATGGTTATGTGTGTCGGACCTCGGACTCATCAAAATGTATAGATGTATAAAGGCTTGAATACCTTGCAAGTCCCCTGCTGGTATAAGTGTTTGATTAAAAAAACAAAAACAAAACAACAAACACCCACCTTGCCATGCTGACAAGCATGATCCTATTAATAGATTAACCATCAGTAGCTTTACCTTGCAGGCAGGATGAATAGTGGTGAGATTTGTGAATTCACAAACTCCCCAAAAACCATCGTGCCAGAAACCAAAAGGTGCAATAGGCTTCATACAGAAATGTTTTGGACCAATGAAATGTTGCATACTGTACATGATGTCAACGTGTCAACCAGAGCCAGAAGGCTGAAGCAAATGAGTGAAAGAACGGTATTTGTGCCTTTGTGGATGGGATAAATGTCTGCCTGTTCCTTCTGAGTGGTTTTGGTAAGAGTTTGTTTTATCAGTTAACTTCACTAGCTGTGAAACAAATGAAGAATGTTATACATTTCTGCTGTTGCTGCTACTGCTGCTGTGATTGGCTGAAAGCTCAACATGGGACGCATACGCCTCTTGGTGATTTACCCAATCAGCTCGAAGAATTCAACTGAA